AAAAAAATACCAAGAATTGTGCCTCTGGTCCCCGTTTAATCAGGAATCCCGGAGGCCATATTGCAAGGGTACCATTTTTTCGGCTAGATACACCCTGAGACACCCTGGAACAGGCGGCCCTTCCTCCTCCACCGCCTGCGGATGCTGCAGAAGAGCAAGAAAACAAGAAGAAGAAGCGGAAAACGGACGTGCAGGCCTTGAAGGTGACCCAACACGATCGGCTGCAGCGTGAGAACAAGGCCCTCCTGGATGAAGCCAAGGATGTCTTGGGGAAGCTCGACAACACTTTGGACTCTGTGACCGCGGAGGACGAGGAACACTACAAGATGTATGTGTCCTTGCTGCGGCAGCGGAGGTTGGCCATCCAGGCGTGGAGCGGGCCCCTGGACCAGGAGCCAGATGACCCAGCGAATGCCATCTCGGCATTCAAGGACTTCCAGGCAGATGCATGCCTTCCCGAGAACAGTGCAAAGCTCCCCAGCCCGGAGTTTGAGCATCTGCTGAGTCGTTTCGAGATTGCCTCCGAGGCCTTTGACAAAACGGAAAAGGCAGCTGAGCAGGACGACTTGAAAGAGACTTTGAAGTCTTTTGGGGAGAGGAAGGCACTGGTGAAAAACCTGTTCTCTTGCGGCCTCCGTGCTGTGAAAGACCTCAAGTCGGCCCGCACAGCCAGGCAGAAGACTTTCGAAGCACGTGTCAAGAGAGAAGCGGCTCAAGCCAAGGCTGCGGCAAAGGCCAAGGCCAAGGAAGAGGCTCGGGCCTCTGGTGGTGGCAAGCCGCCCAAGGGTGCACAAGCAGAGACAGCCAATGCAGCCGCCGAGGCGGCAGTGGCCCTCCCGCCCATCTTTCAGTTTGGGACCTTGACAGACTTGCGTGAGGCGGTGCAGCATCTCAAAGCACAGGCGGTGCCGACTGTGGGAAGCGCAGAGTTTTCCTCCACGGCAGCCGATGTTACCAAGCCATTCCTCGTTGAGTCTTGCTCAGAGTTGGAGGACGCCCTGAGCAAGGATGACATGGTCCGTCAGCGGTTCAGTTTCTTCTTGAGGACCTTCCAAAATTCGCCGCAGTTCGGTGGTTCCGGAAGAGGAACCATGAACCTCCCAGATATCAGCGGGCTCCTTGGCATGATATTGAAGTACGCCCCGGCCAAAGCCGTGGATCCTGTCCGAAGCTGCCTAAGCGACAAGGAATTGGCCACCCTGGTGAAGCTGGTCGGGGCCTACGCTTTCTCAGATGCCATGCGCTATTCTGGGACGGAATTCAAGCAGGCCGCCACCTTGAGGTTTCAGCTCAAGGGCAAGCGGCGCTTTGCAGCCGTGGGCTTCGCTGCTCTCCAAGCAAAGCTGCTTGAGTTTCGAGATGATTCAGCCACACAGGGCGTGGCCGCCAAGATGTCAGAGCTTAGTGTGAGCAAGCTCCAAGACATCTCAGTTGAGGTTGCATCTCAGGTTTTGCAAGCAGCTACGACCGAGGATGCAGAAGGGTTGATGCCGATGTTCTACATTGGGGAGAGCGATGCAAACTCTGTGACCTACATGCCGCCAGGCTTCTTCATGCTGGACATTACATCCGGCAAACAGATGGTGACTGGCTTCAGGGCTTCGGTTTTGGTTGCGGCCCCGCAGCTTGATGACCTGAAGGCCATCATTCAGACGTTTGAGGCCTCCGGCCGGGATGCAGGCCTCATGGTTTCGATGGTCAATGCGATGAAAAACCACGATGTGTTGATCACCGTGGGGCATGCTGGCGTGAAGAAGGAGGAGGACGATCGTGACGATCGTCCCGGCGGCAAGGACAATGACAATGGCACGAAGCCCGCTCCGAAGGCCCCTTTGCATGCCGTCCAAAACCAAAAAGAAGAGACGGAGATGCAGGCCCGGTGCATGATGCGAA